TCTTATTGCTGAGTCCAGAAGATGGAGGAGTCGAGGGTAGAAACAACAGGGCGGGGTGGAAGCTATGGCAGCTGCTGCTGCTTCCACATTTCACAACCCATGCAAAGATAAGATGGGTGAGAGAAAGTCCTGTGGAGGGAGCTTGCACTTCTAAATTTGCAATTACATTACTACTGATAAGTGTGCAGAGTTCTGAATAATGCAGAACTTTTCTTTGGCCTGATTAGGACTGCATACATATCCCATCTTACTTTAATAAAGATGCTACAGAAAGCAGTGTATACGGGAAAGCAAAAAACAAGGTTGTTGCTGCACCCATCAACCTGCAGTAGCTACCTAGCTAGATATCCCAGCCCTTTGACTTCACTCATTTACCCTTGTACTCACTAGCTGATTGGACAACTTCACCCCAACAATAAGCTTGCTTAATTCTCCTGAATTATCTTCAGTCTTTATTCCAGTCCTCTATTCAGTTGTATGCTTTAGTGTATCATGCATCATAGGTCTTGTACACCAGAGCCACTGTTATGGTCTGTGTTGGCTCCTACAAACAGTAGCAACAAAACCACCCAATTTTCACATTTTCTTCCTGAAGGAAGGAGGCATTTTGCCCTGGCAGCACAGGTTTAGCACTAAACCATTATGGTGCCCCCTATTACTGGGGCTGGTCTCATGGCTTGAAAAATAATAATATAATGCACACATTATATGCATGAAAATACAGTAATTTAATTGTAGAGCATGTGGCAAAAAAGAACCATGGATTCTGTGCAAAATACATGTACAATCAAATTACCGGCTCCCAGCCAAATCTTGCATTATCACACTTTAATGTAGACAGATTTTTTCACAATCTGCAAATAGAAAAGCTTAAAATTCCTTTTGGAGCATTTTTAACAGTGGCTGTTATTTCTTTGGCTTGCACATATAGTGCAGAGGCCATAGGTCTAAAATAATAGAATCATTGAAACATAGAAAAGTGAAGTTTGAAGGGGCCTACAAGGCCATCAAGTCCAACCCCCTGCTCAATGCAGGAATACAATCAAAGCATATCTGCCAGGTGATTATTTAAGTTCTTCTTGAATGCTTGCAGAGTTGGAACACTCATCAGCTCCTGAGGTAACTGGTTCCACTGTCGTACTGCTCTAACAGTTAGGAAGTTTTTCCTGAAATTCAACCAAAATCTGGCTTCCTTTGTCATTTGACTTCCGGCTGTACAGTGGAGCAGCGTTTGTGTCTCCTTGCTTCTGTTTTAATTAGTTTTAATCAGGTTTAAATAGTTTAAACAGTTTATGTTTAAGTTTTAATTGCTCCAACCTTCACCTTTTAATCTTGGTTTTGGCAAGTCTTTTTTAACTTTTTAATAGTCACAATAGGATCCTAGGGAGTTTGGCTCCCAAGCAGGCCAAAGGAGAAGGACACAGAGATTAGCTTCAGCCTTATCTCACTCTCAAACAACAATAACATTCAGCCATAACATAGAGCTGGAAGACTTATTTATTCACCTTTATCTAAATCGGAACTGAACTCCAGTTTTTACATTTTATTATCTATTTTAACTCGGAACCTTGGAGGACAAGATAAGTAACCCTTTACTTGTTAAGCTAGTGAATAGACGGCCAGGATATTTTTTTTCTGAGAAGCACTCTGGACACATTGAATTTTCAGATTAGGGAATTTAAACCAGCTGTTATGTTTCTCATTGCAAGTTGCTGGGGACCTCACCCCTGAAAGTGCTTGAATTACTACAGAGGAAAAGACAAACAAAAATCTCAGCCTTCTTCCCTATAAGAACAAAAAGGAAAAAGGGAAAGCCCACTGATTCCTTAGATAAACTTGATGTACCCACCAGTTATACCAACAATCTGGACTGGTCAGTAGATTACTCTTGGGGCAAACTGGAAATGCAAACCAATGAGAGCATTAAACTAGGCAATGGAAATTGCTCATGCTGAAAGCCTGGAATATAGAACTCTTGGAAATGATATAAGAGATACTTCTGTAAATATAGAATGGGAGATAGGACAGGCGGTAGAATTAGAATTGCCAGAAACGTGGAAGAACCAAGACACATGGTCTAACTCTGGGATGGTGAGAGATGGAATTAATGAGAGAACAAAGGCTGCCTTCAGCCCCATCTCAGAAAAGGGAGCAGAGGCTGCTGCAGAGGGATTGGAAGCCCCAAGAGAAAAATTGTTTATGAAAAGTATTAGTTTAATATCCAAAGAATTGGAGGCAATAAAACAATTCCTGTCAGGGTACAATGGCTGAGATATGCTTGAGGGATGGAGGTCTACACTGTACAAACAAGAATGAAACAGTGGAACGTGAGAATCACGACAAAGTGAGTCACAAAAAGATCAAATGTAGTAAGGGAAAGAGTTTCAAGAAGCACCAACAGTGTACTGGCAAGAAGAGTAAAAATATTTCTAAAAATGGAAAAAGGAAAGAACAGACTCCTGAACAACTGTACACAAAACTCATTCAAATCATCTCCACGGGGAGACCCTAAGCATAACATACATCAGCCTGATCAGGTTTGTCCTGTATCATCCAATAATCTGGGACCAGTTGTGCCCACAAATGTGCCAAGTAAATCAATAAACAAGGAAGATGTTGCACAAGACTCACGGCAGCAAATCCCCCATGAGGAACCGGGTTTAGCAGCTGAGAGGTCCAATTCTAACCAAGAGGGAAGCAAACCAGCAGCACCACTACAATGGGAAATTATTCTAAATCAGGAAAAGCTGGCTATAACTCTTTCAAAGTGTGACCAACCCCCAGTATCGAGGCAGCCAGACCAGCCAGCCTTCCACTCTACGCCTGGTGTTGTTGAATGCCAGGTCTGTGTCCAATAAATCCCAGGTAATCCACGACCTTATCCTGGAGGAGGATGCAGACCTGGCATGCATAACCGAGACGTGGCTCAATGGGGAGGGTGGTCCTCCCTTAGCCCTCATCTGCCCGCCCGGTTATGATGTCCAGCACCAGGGTAGACTGGAAGGACGGGGGGGAGAAGCCATTGTCTATAAGTCCAACTTGGA